GACAGGGAGGAAGGGGGCACAGGAAGGGACAGGGAGTGAAGGGGGCAAGGGAAAGGACAGGGAGGGAAGGAGATAAGGCAAGGGACAGGGAGGGAAGGGGGCAAGAGACAAGGGAAGGGACAGGGAGGGAAGGGGCAAGAGACAAGGAAAAGGGGAAAGGGAAGGGGTGAAAAGTGGGGCAGGTCAGGAAAGGTCAGAGGTGGAAGGAGAGGAAAAAGGAGAAGGGACAGGGGAAGAAGGGAGGATAGGGTAGGAAGGGGAAGAAAGGGGGAATGAAAGTGAGGAAAGGGGAAAAGAGCAGGGAAGGCAAGTAAGGGACAGGGAAGGACAAAGTGGGCAAGGCAACAAGGTGGGAAAGGGGAGTATTATCAGGGAAGCTTGGCATGAATGTGGATCATTATGATCTCATTTTATTCCCATATCTTGTCAGTTTGTGTCACATGGACCAAGTCACCCCAACCCAAATTGTTCTTTCTTAGCTGCACCCTGGGAGTTGGGAGCTCTTTAGTACGGTGACTCATGGGTATAACTGGCAGGGAGGACAATGGGCCGGAGCACAGGTCAATCTGCATTAGTCACAGGAATAAGCTGCACAGAAGGGGACGGAGCGGATGATGAAGGGACAGCACTGGCCAGCCACAGTCATCTCACCTCCATTGTGCCAGCATGCTGCCCTCTTCCTCCGGGGCTCATGGAAGCCACAGCAGACCACGAGTGTCACAGCTTGATACCAATGACCTCCAATGACACAGAGGGCCTACGTCTCTATACAGATAAAGGGAAACGACCTATTCCTACCCACCAATCTGCTGACCACAAGATGCCCAATAATTGTCCCTCCGACCAAAACCGATGTATCAATAACTCGCGTCTCTCATGAACTTCACCAACTCTGACCAGGAGAAAAACTGCCCACCCCCCATTCTTGCATTGAAAAAATAAATACATTTACATTTACTTTGACCAGTCACATCAGTATCTGCACCAGAGGAGCTTACACTTTAATGCGCTTCCCCCCCCCACTGTCACACACATTTATTAGTATTATTATTATAATGTGTTAATATGGCTGTGACCTATACCACAGCGCTGTACAGAGTACACTGTGCCAGTGACATCAGTCTCTGTACAGAGGAGCTTACACTCTAATGCCCCCCCACAGTCACACACTATTCTTATTATTGATTTAAATAGCTCCGACATATACCGCAGTCCAGTACAGAGAACACTGAACTGTACTCTATTAATCAGAGGAGCTTACACTCTAACCCACACACACACACACACACACACACACACACACAGTCACACACTATTAATATTATAAATGTATATAGCTCTGACCTATACCACAGTGCTGTACAGAGAATACAGAGTCAGCCATCAATCTCTGTGCCAGAAGAGCTCACACTCTAATGCCCCCCCCAGTGTCACAACCTAATAATATTAATAATGATTTATATAACTCGTAGAGAGAACACTGAACTGTACTCTGTGGATCAGAGGAGCTTACACTCTTAATTGCCCCATTTGCACATCTTGGTTCCCACATTATCATGGTTTGGCCAATCTGAATGAGGAAGACAACCAAAGTGTTCTGAGCGGAACATACAAACTTCATGCAAAGGGGCTGTAACCCCCCCCTCCCCCCCCCCATATGACTTTTATTAAATGCAGTATACATATATAATGTCCACCCCTAGAAGTGTGTGTGCGTGTGTGTGCGTGTGTGCGTGTGTGTATATATATTTTGTAATACACGCTGGGACCCGCGAAGCGCCTCCTCGTCGGCCCTCCTCTGCTGCGATGGCAGGACGGGCGGCTTTGACCCAGAGCAACTTTTAATTTGAATTAAAGAGAGTTTTAAGCAGATCTTCTCCTCTAATATTCTATAAATTGCAGATGGATTATATATTTCCCTTTTCTCTGCGTGTTGAATGGTTAAAGCACCGACACGCAGGATCAGGGGCACAAAACCCCCCGAATAAAACCCCTCAGCCGGGAGAAAGCTGGTTAATAAGATTTTTCAGGATTCCTTTGTGTGTGGAAGTAAAGCGCTGAAACAGCTGAAGGGGACAGTCACTTCACGGATAATAGGATCAGCGCTGCACGCATCAAGCTGACGCACGCTTCGGCCTGGGTGACGGCTGGAGCTGGGGGGTCACCCCCCCCCCCCTAAAACCTGCTCCCCATTCACTGCGCTGTGCGGTGTTATCGGGGGTTCACTAGCACCGCGTCCTCTCTGCCGCAGCCCCGGGGTACCCTGAACTATCCTATACCATCTATTCCGTATCTGTCACTGTATCCGAATTGTATCTAAGCCCAGAAACAAATGTATTGTATATATTGCAGATTATCAGACACCAGATGTGGCGGCTGCATTCGTTTCCCTTTTCAGACTTCTTTTCTATCGTTATCACTTGATGATCCTGCCAGTAACACTTCCTGTCCGAGGATGACAACGCTCACTCACTGTACTGTATCTATGGAAGAGCGGGGATGTTGCTCTAGGACATCCTATTATTATTATTGTTTATTTTTGTTAAAGTAGATGACACAAACCAAATGCCATTCAGTTTGCTGAAGCACTGTGTAAAATGTTTGTTTTTACACCTTTTCTCTGTTTTTGTTTTTTCATCCTTTGTAAAAAGTTTAGTGATGCTGATCCCCTGCAGCCACTCCTCATTGAAGGGTTCATAGCATTTCTCCGAGCGGGTTTCATGATGGTGACAACAGTGGGCCGTCACTACGTAGTGTGTGTGTGAGAAGTGTCAGAAGCCCATGGGACAGGGTGACATCACAGGAACTCAATTGGGAGACAAGGGACAGAGCGTTGTCACCCTATAACTGGAAGTCTCAGAACAAGGACCCTCATTGCAGGAGCACCAGGGATTATTTGAAAACTTCACTCTGGGATAAGCTAATATTGCCACGTGTGTTCATCCTGAATCTCGGTGAGCTTTGTGTATTTCTTCCAGACTCCTTGTGCAGTGTGACTGATCTTGTCTCCGCCCCCTCCTGTAATAAAGACCGGTCACTGCTGCTCTCTCTCCTTGTGCAGGGTGACTGGTCTCGTCTCCGCCCCCTCCTGTAATAAAGACCGCTCACTGCTGGTCTCTCTCCTTGTGCAGGGTTACTGGTCTTGTCTCCGCCCCCTCCTGTAATAAAGACCAGTCACTTCTGTTCTCTATCCCTGTGCAGGGTGACTGGTCTTGTGAAGTGGCACCACACCCCCATAAATCAACAGAATACCGATATTTTGTGTAATTGGGGATTTTAAGCTGCCAATGTGTTGTAGTTTTGGCTCATTTTTACAAGGTGTTATTATTATTATACAGGATTTATATAGCACCAACAGTTTGCGCAGCGCTGTACCATATAAGGAAGACATTACAGTTACAATACGAGACAAGATGGGAAGGAGGGCCCGGCCCCTGAGGGCTGAGTCTGTAGAGGCATTTGGGGCACACAGAGCGGTTTTATATCCTCGGTGACTATAGAGGAATATATTTCAATGAACATTTTTTGTGTCCGGAGTTCGGCAGATTTAAACATATTGGAATTGAACGCGTTCCGTCTTCTTCTCTGACATTCTTGCGATCGGAATTCCTTCTCCCGGAAATCTCGTAGATTTTGTCTCCGCGTTTTAAACGTGGAAGCTGCGCTGACCCGGCTCTGAGCCCCGTCCCCTCCGGTATGAATATTAATTTATTTTCTCACCTCTGCAGGGGGGCAACAAATAAATTTAGTGCTGTCTTTAAATCATCCTTTTCTCCTCCAGGAGGCTGAGATGTCATTGGAAAGTTTCTTAAATAGGCATTTAATTAGCCCGTGTGTTAGTGCAGAACAAAACCCCCGCTGGGCTGCTATAGAGGAGGAAGGGGGGGGGGGGGGGGGCGTGGGCGCG